AAAGCAGTAAATAGGGGATCGGGGCGTAAATTCTAAAAACGACTGGCCGGGTCGTTACATCCTCCCACACTTAAACATTCGTTCGTCCTCGAACGAGCACAAAGACATACCTGAAGTAGTGAAAAGATGAGGGTACTAGCTGCTCATATCCAGCTCGGTCTCCCAGGTCGCCTCCTCGACCGGCTGACCTCGCCACTGAACCTTCACCGATGCAATGTTCTTTGACGTCAACTTCCTAACCTGCCTGTCCAATATTGCCACTAGCTCCTCAACATAAGATAGATCCTTTTCCAACTAGACTGAGCTGAAATCCAACACGTGCGACGGATCACCGTGATACCTCCGGAGCATCAAAACATGAAATACCGGATGAACTCCTGCCAAGCTGGGAGGTAAGGCAAGCTCGTAAGCAACCTCCCCAACACGCCTCAATATCTCAAAAGGGCCAATAAACCTCGGACTCAACTTCCCCTTCTTCCCAAATCTCATAACACCTTTCATAGGCGAAACCCGAAGAAGAACCCGCTCTCCAACCATGTAGGAAACATCACGAACCTTCCGGTCCGCGTAACTCTTCTGTCTGGACTGGGCTGTACGGAGTCTGTCCTGAATCACCTTGACTCTCTCCAAAGCATCCTGAACCAAGTCTGTGCCTAATAATCTAGCCTCACCCGGCTCGAACCAACCCACCGAAGATCTACATCGCCTACCATATAAAGCCTCGTATGGTGCCACCTGAATGCTGGATTGATAGCTGTTGTTGTAGGCAACTTCGCCAATGGCAAGAACTGATCCCAAGAACCTCCAAACTCAATCACACACGCACGGAGCATATCCTCAAGAATATGAATAGTGCGCTCGGACTGTTGATAAGTGTATTTTACTTGATTTTTAATATATAATTTTCTCTGTAAAAATAAAGAAATTATCATATTCTTCCCTAACTTTTAGTAAATTATGTAGGAAAGATTGCAAAGCAAGTGATGCAGAATCAAGGAAGATTTTAAGAAATAGCGCATCAAAGGAGAAAAGTAAGCTGTGATGGAGTAAATAAACAAGGCAAAGAAGACAATCTACGAAGGGACTTTCATAATAGACCCATAACCGATCTATAACCAAGATCCATAATCAACCCATAACAAAACTCATAACCAAAGCATAACTAGCTATGGAGTGCTTATAAAATGGACGTCTCAGAAATTCGGAAAGGGCATCGAGAGAAGGAGAGCTCAGCAGAGAACTGAATCCATTTCAGATCTTTTTCTTTTCATTTCAGTCAGTTGTTCAGTTCTTTAAATTTCTGCCCAGTCATTACAATGGCTTTTGTTTCTAGTTCCTAATAAATTTTAGCTTTGAAAGTTACTCTATATCCTGCTTTTAATTAAATAGGGGGAATTATTCTTTCTGAATATTTCTTACTATTTTCTTATCTAATGGACAAGAATATTTTCGTTAGCAATACTAGNGCCCCCTTAGGCCCAAGCGCAATATCAAGCCATCTCATGGCACCAGCTAGGCCCTCGGCCTGATATCAATATCAATATAATATCGCTGCGGCGTGCAACCCGATCCATACTCAGTCCAGAAATCATATAAGCCCCTCGGGCAATAATAAAATAGTAGTTCTCAGCCCAAAACATCATTTAGTATATCTTTTAGTCTCAAAATCCGAGTAAAGATGGCTGAGTTGAAAAATAGTAGAAAACGGTACGACTGAGTTCCAATAATAAAATCCATACAGTGAGGATATAGTGATAAAAACTCCCCGAAGGGTTCAAATAGTAGGCACGAAGCCCAAATATGAAAATCAATACAAATAATGATGACAACAAATAGGCTTCAAATAAATAAGCGGTAAGAACATCACTCGGGACGGACCAAGTCACAATCCCCAAAAGTAAACGACCCCGTGCTCATCATCAAATGCTTGTCTCACCTCAATATAGCACTACGATGTGCAAATCCGGGGTTTCAAACCCTCAGGACATTATTTACATTCATTACTCACCTCAAGACGGCCAAAAATCTAGCTAGCTATGCCCTTGCCTCTCAAATCGACCTCCTCGCGCGTCGAATCTGATCAAAACCACAACGAATACATCACAATATGCTAAGGAAACAATACCCAATCGAAAACAATCGAAAAATATCAAGAATCTCGAAATTAGCAAAACCCGAGCCCCGGGCCCACTTCTCAAAACTCAGAAATTTTCACATCATTAGACTCCTTATCTCCCCACGAGTTTATACATATCAAATACACAAGAATCAGAGTTCAATTGACCCTTCAAATCCTCAATTTTTGCTCTCTTAAGCTCAAGCCCTAAACCACCATTTTTGTCCATTAATTCCTTAAATTTTCAGTCCTAATTCAGGAAATAACACCATAGAATCGTGTTTTGGGTCCAAAAATCCTTACCTTATCGAAGCTCCTTGAAATCCCTCTTCAAAATCGCCCACAATTCTCCAAGTCCGAAGTTAGAAATGATAAACCCTTCAAAATTCGCGAAGAAGGACTTAAATACCTTCTGCCCAGACAAAATCGCATCTGTGGTCTAAAATCCGCTTCTGCGGTTTATTCTCCGCATCTGCGGAACTTCCTTAAGTCCGTCTGGCCGCATCTGCGGTTCCGCAGGTGTGGCTCCCTATCCGCATCTGCGGTTCCAGCTTATTCCCCTAACCCGCATCTACGACCGAATTTCCGCATCTACGGCTTCGCAGATGCGGCTCCTCGTCCGCTTCTGCGAAAACAGCTCCCCCGACCAAAACTCGCACCTGCGGCCTCCCCTTCGCACCTGCGAGACCGCATCTGCGGTCCCCTTTCCGCAAGTGCGGAAATACCAACAACAGCAGGAATCTGAGATTTGCCCAAGTCCAAAACTCCCCGTTAGCCATCCGAAATCACCCCGAGGCCCCGGGACCTCAACCAAAGGCAATAACACATCCTAAAACATTATCCAAATTTGTTCCAATCATCAAAACACCTCAAACAATACCAAAACCAACAAATTACATCGAATTCAAGCCTAAGTTCTTCTAAAACTTCCGAAACACGCATTTGATCAAAAACCCAACCAAATCACCTCCGAATGACCTAAAATTTTATGCACACATCCCAAATCACCTAACAAAGCTACAGCAACTCCCGGAATTCCATTCCGACCCTCGGATCAAAATCTCACCTATCAACCGGAAATCGCCAAAGTATTAACTTCGCCAATTCAAGCCTAATTCTACACCGGACCTCCAAAACCACATCCGATCACACTCCTAAGCCACAAATCACCTCTCGAAGCTAACCAAACCATCGGAATTCACATCCGAGCCCTCTAACTAATAAGTCAATGATAAGTATATTTTACTTGATTTTTAATATATAATTTTCTCTGTAAAAATAAAGAAATTATCATATTCTTCCCTAACTTTTAGTAAATTATGTAGGAAAGATTGCAAAGCAAGTGATGCAGAATCAAGGAACATTTTAAGAAATAGCGCACCAAAGTAGAAAAGTAAGCTATGATGGAGTAAATAAACAAGGCACAAAGAAGACAATATACGAAGGGACTTTTCATAACAGACCCATAACTGATCCATAACCAAGATCCACAATCAACCCATAACAAAACTCATAACCAAAGCATAACTAGTTATGGAGTGGTTATAAAATGGATGTCTCAAAAATTCGGAGAGGGGCATCGAGAGAAGGAGAGCTCAGCAGATAACTGAATCCATTTCAGAGCTTTTCCTTTTCAGTCACTTGTTCAGTTCTTTAAATTTCTGCCCAGTCATTACAGTGGCTTTTGTTTCTAGTTCCTAATAAATTTTAGCTTTGAAAATTACTCTATATCCTGCTTTTAATTAAATAGGGGAAATTATTCTTTCTGAATATTTCTTACTATTTTCTTATCTAATGGACAAGAATATTTTCATTAGCAATACTAGCTCCAGTATGGAGTAACTTTTCTTGTGTTGGGAAAATGACGGATCTTAATATTTTTATATAATAGTAGATATTATTCTTCAATTTCACATGCTTGAGCTGAAGCTTTTTATTTAAATTTTATCTGCTTTATAGTTGGGAGTTATTTAATTTGTTAACACCTATCTATTTCGTACTATATATTAACTTCTTACTGATTCTGTAATCGAAAGAGGCAGAAGAAGTAATACTTAATTTTGGTATTGATAGATGTTAACCTATATTTAGTGACATCTAGCTCATATATGTTAAAAATGATTCTACACTTATTTGTAATCGAAAGAGGCGAATATTGTAGGAATCAGTTATAATTTAGGGTAACCGAAAGAGACTTACTAAAAAAGAGCATGCTTTAGTTCAAGTATATATTTCTGGTTCTTTAATATTACCATTTTAACGATTAATTTGTATAACCGAGAGGAGTGCATTTAATTGTTCAACTATAGTAATAATATATAAATGTAATCGTAAGAGGCATTTATACATTTATGAGAAATAGAAGTTGAAGGATAAATGTATCTATTATATAATAAAAATATTAAGTGAAGTCAGGATCCCAACACCTTTTTATTACATTTGTGAAAAATAAAATATTTTCTATTGCTCTATTCATGCATTTTTAGTTAGTTAATTTGCAACTCAAATCTTTCCGATTTTCTCAAATAGTAATTAAAACAAGAAACGTCTGTAGAATAGATAAACCAATCTCTGTGGGTTCGACATCTTTCTATACTATAATTTGACAGAGTACGAGTTTAATTTATACACACGCCAGACACCCGTCAAATTTTTGGCGCCGTTGCCGGGGATTGGCTAAAGTCTACTACAGATTAATTGTTTTACTACTAATTTGAGATTTTTTTTATTATCTAATTATTTTAACTTTTCTGTAGAAATTTCAGAAAGTTTGACCCGTTCCTCTTCTAGAGAACTAGTCAAATACGATCCTGAAATTGAAAAATCCTTGCGGTTGTTGCGAAAAGAACAAACCTCACGATCTCAAATTTTCATATCAGAGGAAATGGAGAACGAAGAACTCAATAACCAACTCCCACCACATCAAGTAGTAGAGCAGTTTGATGAGGTGGCACCACGACGTGATAGAATACTCCGTGATTATGCAAGGCCAGATCATTTTGAAGGAGAATCAAGTGTGAGGAGACCACCAATTGCAGCAAACAACTTTGAAATTCGCACAGGCTTGATTCAAACCATTCAACAGTCATGTCAGTTTACTGGTGATGCGAGTGAAGATCCTCACACCCATCTAATTGATTTTCTTGAATTAGTTGAAACTTGCAGGTATAATGGAGTCACAACAGATGCCATCAGGTTGCGGCTTTTTTCTTTTTCTTTAAAAGGTGAAGTAAAAATATGGTTGCGAAGTCTACCAAGAGGTTCCATTACAACATGGGACCAAATGACCCAAAAATTTCTTAATAAATATTTTTCACCTGCAAAAACATTTAAAATGAAGCAAGAAATCAATAATTTTATGCAGACAGATTCTGAATCTGTATACCAGGCATGGGAAAGATTAGCAGCAATGTTAAGAAAATGCCCACATCATGGTATCCAAGACCCTGATATTTTATATATTTTCTATCATGGTCTTAAACCCTCTGCTAGAAATGTAATTGATGCAGCATCAGGAGGATCAATAATGGAAAAAACTACTACACAAGCAATGCAATTGCTTAATGAAATTTCAGAAAATGCTGTTCAACGGCCCTCAGACAGAATGATTATCAAAAAAACGGCAGGAGTAAATCAAGTTGAAGCTTTGAATTCACTGACACAACAAATTGCGACCTTAACACAAAAAGTTGAGGCTTTTCAGGTAGGTGCTCATTCATCATCCCAACTTGAGAATTGTGATGTTTGTCAAGGTAATCATCCGAATCATAAATGTCAAGCTTCAATGCAAAATGAAGAACAGGTAAATATGATTGTTTATAGAAATAATTACTCATTTGGTAGTCCCATGGCACAAAAACATCTAGGATTTTAATGGAGTAATCCTAATGGTGCTGAAAATCCTCAAAGATTTTTTAATCAAAAGCAGCAGGTACAGGGACCGCCTGGTTTTCAAAATCAAAATAGAGGGCAACAAAATTTTCAACAATATCAGCAGCAGCCTCAAATAGCTCATCAACAAAGCCTTGAAGACCTGATGTATAAATTCATTAAGGCTACTGACGAGAAGGTTGAAAGTCAACATTCAGCCATCAAGAATTTAGAAATTCAGATGAGCCAATTAGCAACCCTCATGTCTGAACAAATAAAAGGTGATCTACCAAGCAACACCGAAAAAAATTCAAAGGAACACCTCAAAGCCATCTCTCTGCGATCAGGTAAAACTCTTGATGATCCATATGCAGATAGACAAGGAAAACCACAAGAAGCGGAATAGGTAAATGAAGGTGAGAATAAAAGAGACTCTGAACTTCTAAAAGAACAAAAAGATAAAGGAAAAAAGGTACAAGAAAATGAATTGATGACAAATCCGCACTCTGTACCCCTCCCTTTTCCCCAAAAGAAGAAAAGAGAAAATCTTGACAAACAGTTTTCAAAGTTTCTGGATATTTTAAAGCAACTGTACATTAATGCCTTCATATGCTAAATTTTTCAAAGAAATTTTGTCAAGTAAAAGAAAATTGGAAGAAGTTTCAGTTATTAAGCTTACAGAGAAATGTAGTGCTATACTTCAAAATAAGCTTCCACAGAAACTTGGCGATCCAGGGAGTTTTACAATTCCTTGTACTGTGGGAGGTGCTCACTTTGAAAAGGCATTATGTGATTCGGGTGCTTCAATAAATCTAATGCCTTTCTCAATTTTCAGGAAATTAGAACTTGGTGAAATGAAAGATACTGGTGTGTCTCTTCAATTAGCTGATCAAAGTACTAAAAAGCCCAAAGGAATAATTGAAAACGTCCTCGTTAGAGTAGATAAATTTGTATTCCCAGTAGATTTTATAGTACTTGAAATGGAAGAAAATACCGAGGTACCATTAATTTTAGGTAGACCATTTCTCGCAACAGGGAGAGCGATCATTGATGTTCATCAAGGACAATTAATATTGCGAGTTGATGAGGAGAGAGTAATTTTTGATATGCAGAAAATGATGAAATTTCCTGGGAATGAGTCATCATCATCTTGTTTTCAAATTGACTTACTAGATGAACTTGTAGATGAATTCAAGGATAATCAATTAATTACTGATTCATTAGAAAGATGCTTGGTCAGGTCAGGTACCACAAGTGATGAAAATCCACAATAAAAAAAGAAGCTGAAACACTAGAAAAAGATTCAGAAAATGAGAAAATCTCACCAGAAGAAGTTCAACCGAAAATTGAACTCAAAAATCTTCCTTCTCATTTGAAATATATCTTTCTTGAACCTGAATTATTTCCGGTAATTATTTCATCTTCTTTAACTGCAGAACAGGAAATAAAACTAATTAGAGTTTTAAGGAACATAAAAGAGCTTTAGGGTGGACTATAGCTGACATCAAAGAAATCAGTCCAGCTATTTGCACACATAGGATCCTTATGGAGGATAATTACAAGCCAATAGTCCAACCCAAAGGAGACTTAATCCAGCAATGCAAGAAGTTGTCAAGAAAGAAGTAGTGAAACTTCTAGCGGCAGGTATCATTTATCCAATATCTGATAGCCCTTGGGTATGTCCTGTACAGGTAGTACCAAAGAAAGGAGGTATGACCGTAATAAAAAATGAAAATAATGAACTCATACCTACAAGAACAGTCACACGATGGAGAGTCTATATTGATTACAGACGACTTAATGATGCCACAAGGAAAGATCATTTTCCTTTGCCTTTTATTGACCAAATGCTTGAAAGAATTGCAGGGCATAGTTTTTATTGTTTTCTTGACGGATATTCTGGGTATAATCAGATACCAATTGCTCCCGAAGATCAGGAGAAAACCACATTCACATGCCCCCAAGGTACGTATGCTTACAGAAGAATGTCATTTGGACTATGTAACGCTCCTGCTACATTTCAGCGTTACATGTCGGCAATTTTTTCAGATATGACTGAAAAATATCTTGAAATTTTCATGGATGATTTCACACTCTTTGGTAAAACATTTGAAGATTGTCTCTATCATCTAACTTTGGTGCTTAAAAGATGTGAAGAGATAAATCTGGTTCTTAATTGGGAAAAATGTCATTTTATGGTGACCGAGGGAATTGTTTTAGGACATAAAATCACTGCTAAAGGAATAGAAGTTGATAAAGCTAAAATTGATCTTATAGCAGGATTACCCCCTCCCACCACTGTTAAAGGTATTAGAAGTTTCTTAGGGCATGCAGGTTTTTATAGAAGGTTCATAAAAGACTTTTCAAAAATTTCAAAACCTCTAACTAACCTACTGATGAAAGATGTGAAGTTTGAATTTTCAGATGATTGCAGAAATGCATTTGAGTTTCTCAAGGAACAATTGACTAATGCTCCAATTGTTGTTTCTCCTGATTGGAGCCAGCCATTTGAAATAATGTGTGATGCCAGTGATACAGCAGTAGGAGAATATTAGGACAAAAGAAAAACAAGATCTTTAGACCCATATACTATGCCAGCAGAACCCTCAATGAAGCTCAAATGAATTATGCAACAACCGAGAAGGAGTTATTGGCAGTAGTATTTGCATTTGCAAATTTCGTTCTTATTTGATAGAAACAAAGGTTACAGTGTTTAATGATCATGCAACCTTAAAGTATCTATTAGCAAAGAAAGATGCTAGACCAAGATTGCTAAGATGGATACTCCTTTTGCAAGAATTTGATCTCGAAATAAAAGATAGAAAAGGTTCAGAAAATCAGGTAGCTGATCATTTGTCACGTCTAGAGAATCCTCCTACAGAAATACTAGATATCCAAGAGGAATTTCCTGATGAGCATATCTTTTCAGTCACGACAGTTGTAAATAAACCTCCTTGGTTTGCTGATATTGTCAATTATTTAGCGGGAGGGTGGATTCCAAAAGATTTTTCTTACGATCAAAGAAAAAAGCTTAAAAAAGAGGCAAATCATTATTATTGGGAAGATCCTTATTTGTTTAAATTTTGTGCAGATGACATAATCAGGAGATGTGTACCTGAAACAGAAATGAACAACATTTTAAGTCACTGCCATGATGGAGCTGTAGGAGGACACTACGGAGGTAAGAAAGACAGCAGCTAAAGTACTTGAAGTTGGATTTTATTGGCCTACTTTATTCAAAGATGCAAGAGATTATGTTGCCACTTGCGACAAATGCCAGAGAAGCGGTAACATTTCAAAAAGGGATGAGATGCCTCTTAACTCTATCCTTGTTTGTGAAATATTTGATGTTTGGGGCATTGATTTTATGGGTCCTTTTCCTCCTTCAAACGGCTGTGAATATATTTTAGTTGCTGTTGACTATGTTTCAAAATGGGTAGAAGCAATTGCTACTAGATAAAATGATGCTCATATTGTTTGTACTTTTCTCAAGAAAAATATTTTTTCTAGATTTGGAACTCCACGAGTTATCATAAGTGATCAAGGAACTCATTTTATAAATAGACAATTTTCTAGTTTGTTGTCAAGATATGGAGTTACTCATAAAACAGGAACTCCATATCATGCTCAAACAAGCGGACAAGTAGAAGTATCCAACAGAGAATTAAAAAGAATTTTAGAGAAAACTGTTGGCTATTCTCGAAAAGACTGGTCTCTAAAATTAGATGACGCTTTATGGGCATACAGAACTGCTTTTAAAACTCCCATAGGCACATCTCCTTATAGACTAGTTTTTGGAAAAGCTTGTCATTTACCTGTGGAATTAGAACATAAAGCATATTGGGCTATAAAATTGTTGAATCTAAACTTCCCAGATGCAGGTAAAAATCGTCTATTGCAGCTTGATGAGTTGGAAGAGTTCAGGCTTACAGCATATGAAAATGCTAAATTGTACAAGGAAAAGACAAAAAAATGGCATGACAAGCTCATCCGCCATAAAGATTTTAAAGTGGGAGATCATGTTCTGCTGTACAATAGCCGATTGAGATTATTCCCAGGAAAGTTTAAGTCACGCTGGACAGGACCGTATACTGTAATAGAAATTGCCCCCTATGGTGCCATTGAAATACAACGTACAGATAGGGGAGATAAATTCAAAGTAAACGGTCAACGTTTGAAGTCTTATATCAGCAGATTCTTCGACAAACAGGCTTCAACAATCCTTTTTGCCTAATTTTTAAAATAAGTCGAGCTGGTGACGTTAAACTCAGAATTATTTTCTTCCCCTCTCTTTAATCTTTTAAGTAATTATTAGTAGTAACATATAATATTTCCTCTTTAGTAAATATATATATAATTAAATTAGTTTTTCTTCTTATAAAAAAAAGTTAAAAAATAATAATAATGACATGTTTGTATTATATTATATATATAGATGTGTATGTAGTATGTATTAATATTTTGCCATGATGAAAAAAATACTCCCATGATTTAGACAATGAAAGGTTTCTCCTATCATGAAAAAGAACATTTCTTTGCTATAATCTTGTTTTTGTTATATGAGAGAAACTTCGAGAAGCCAAGAAAAAGGAAATGAGGCTAGAATCGGAAAAAATTAGGGAAGCTCCTTTATCTCCTTGTACTGTTAATTTATTTTGTCATGAGGACATGACATTATTTAAGCTTGGGGGTAGAGGAATATATTTGTTATATGTGTTTTTTTTGAGTTATACATATAAAAAAAAATTGAGTTGCCTTATTCCTAAGGCAACTTACTTCATGTACTTCCATGGATTTCTTGTTTGGTTCTTTGTCATGGTCGTAATATTTTGAACCGAACATTCTTTTTAGGACTTTTAGTTGTTTTAACTTATTTTGGTAAATAAGTTGGCTAAACTTGATTTGACTTGAAAAGTATGACACTTAAAAAAGATGAATTTGATTAAGTACACGGGTTTTATGATCACTTTTCTAAGCTCATACTTACTTATTGGTGATTGAAATCATAGTTTTCGTTAGCCCAAGTGTATAGTGTTGTTAGCTTATATTGTCTAGTTCTCCTGCTTATCTGGAAATCTAGAACTTGCCTTGAATGTGGATTGAGGCGAAATTCTAGGTAGATCTTTGAGTTAAGAAATGAACGTGGGCCTTCTTGTTGAGCCATTTGACCTACCTTAATGATTTTTATCCCTAGTTAGCCCAGTTGAGCCTAAATAAATTATCTCTTATTTTGTTGATCACCAAGCTTTAACCCTTAGCCTGTTTGTTGTTATTACTTGTTCTTTGTTCACCCAATTCCCTTTTGGGCACTTTAAGAGTTGATCTGAATGTAAAAATCTAGGCGTGAGGTGTAATTGTAAAAATAATNAAAAAAAGGAGATGATAGCAACAAGAAATGTCGGCATC